ATTGATTAGACTGTGAACTGGTACTTGGTTGTGGTTTGGTTTTATCTCGATTATCTCCAGGAGTAGAAAAACTTTGATTAGCCAAAGCAGTATGATCAATATCCAAAAGGTTTTCATGCGGTATTTTATTTTGTTTGTCTAAGTCCATTAAAGTGTATGATTTATCACTGTCAGAGTCAGTGTAATTAACAAGAAATTTACTTGTAGCCAATTTGGTATCATTTTGGTTTGATATTAAAAAGGATTCCGCATCAAAATTTTGTATATAAGATGGTAATGCCATATAATTATGAGGTAAAACTGCATCCAGATCGTAGTCGCAGTCTCTTCCCATTGGCATTAACGAATCAATCGTCAAGTTCATCTGCTGTATATCTTCAGGAACAGGAAATTTAGTAATGCTCTTTTCACTATACCACCTTAATCTTAATAAAACCTAGTTTTATCACGCGATTACCAGGTAAATATAATTTAACACAAAATATAGTGCAGGGAGATAGTTATTCCATCACAATTTTTACTGGAATGAACACGTAGCAACACGTTTTTTGCCACTTTGTTTATTGTAAACGACCTCATTACTGAGGAATGCCAATTCTGCGTACTTCCATATCGCACAACCCATTGTTGCTGATGTTGGAACCCAAGTAGATGAAGTTGTTCACTGTTTCTAGTCCCAACGCGCCAGTTAGTTCCAGTTTCCCAGATCTATCTACCACCATGATCTTGGTTTTGGACCTGTTTATGGAAAGTCCCATCTCCTCGCTAATCCGCTCCATTCGAACTATAAGCGCATTCATTTCCGACTCATTTGCTGCAAGAAGGGTTGTGTCATCGGCGTAGCGCAAGTTGGTGAATTTCACGCCACCAACTGTGATGCCTCCCTCCCAATTCTCGCAGATGCGTCTCATAATGTGCTCTCCATAGGCGTTAAACAGAATGGGCGATTATTATATTGTTTTTTTTTCTGCGTCAACAGCACGGTGGCAAATACTTGCTAAAGAAGTGCCAACTTTAAGTTTAAAACCACTCTCAAATACTCGATGGGAGAGCAGGGTTGAAGCAGCAAAGGCTCTACGTTTTGAACTGGGGAAAGTGTATAATGCCTTGTTTACCATATATTCCGATAGGAGCAAAGATGCGGAGTCAATAAATATAGCAAATTCATTACCGGGAAAAATTAAGTCGCTTAAATTCATCTGCTCTCTGCTTATTTGGTTTGAAATTTTAAGCAAGATAAATATAGTTAGCAAGGCACTTCAAATGTCAGACGTTGTATTGTCAGAAGCGGTGAAAATAATTGATAATGCAAAAATAAGTTTGTCTGAATTCCGTAATGACTCCGCTTTTGAAAAGCTCCTTAACAGTGCGAAAACTGTAGCGGAAGAAGTCGATGCAATACCAGAATTTCCCCACACCTGCACGCCCTCGCGCTCGTAAAAGGGTTTTTAATTATGAGGCGGAGGATGAACCGATCACAGACGCGAAAACACATTTTAAAGACAATTTTTACTACTATTTACTAGAAACCGCAATTACTAAATTCGATGAAACTGTTCGAACTTCTCAATCAAAATAATGTAGTTTTTTCATTTCTTTAAAAATTGACACAATGGAAGTTTTCGTCTCGGTTACAAATAAAGCACATTGTTCTAATTTAGAAAATAAACTTTGCCAATGTGGCTTGAGATGCAGAAAAGTTCGAGCACTTAAATGAAATCAAATTATTACCGATGTTTATTGATGATTCCACTACTCCGTTGGATATTTTTAATTACTTGCTTACGAATAAATTGATTTCAGTATTCCCAAATCTGTCCACAGCACTGAGTATTTACGTCTCAGACCAAATAAAAAGTAAAGACGGAGTCTGCCGAACCAAAAAGTGAAGCCGGTTTTTTATGTATGTAGTGCATTAGCCAGTGTTACCATAGTCAAATAAAACACCCCAATATTAGAAAAATGTAATAACGTTATTCCATAACGTTATTAATAACGTTATAAAATATTAGAAAAAAATATTGTAAGCTTATTCTCTTAACCTCTCGTGAGCCAAAGGTCATGCGCCGTTCTCACCTACAAGTGCCGGACTTCTTTATGGACCGCCCGCCCGTGGGTGGGAACGATTGCATTGTTCTGCCGATTTCTCTGTTATTTTGTAAAAATACCCTTCACAAACGTATATTTGGATTCTCCATAAAATTTTCAATAAAACAGTGTGTACACAATGCGTCATGTCTATAATTTATTTTAATTACATTATGGTAAACTCAGGAACGATAAAAAAAGTCGTTTAAATAGGTAAAATGGGGTATATTTTCAAAATTTGTAAATTATAAATCCAGGTTTTTGTACATATAGAATGTACTATATATAAATGAATGTATATAATAACTTACCAAATATAATTATAAAATATAACACGCAACAGAAAAAAAAGGGTCGTGTTTCAAGTGTTGGTTAAATCAAATGCGAGATCCAAGTGCCTTGATTTATGTGTTGACGTTTAATTATGTTGGATTGTTTATTTTACTTTAGTTACAAGTCTCGGATGGAATAGGTTTGTACATTTTATAGTTTCAAGCACTCGCAACAAGGCACTTGAAATCGCTACCAAATCAGTCATCTCAACTTTATGTCGATAAAACGAAAAGCATATACAAATGTTGATAAACAGTTTCTTTTATTAAAATGTACATAAAATTTTCTATAGAATACACAAATTATAATCACTAGTTCCTATACAAGAACATAATAAAATAAATCCACAAACATCGCGAATTTTGGGTCAAAAAGGCCATTAAAAAGTAGATGCATCTTAAAACGGTGTGCACATTAGATGAGGCATTTTTCTAGTGTGCACAGTTGCGGTCAAGGATGAGTTTAAAATTAGCTAAGTACCAAATTAACATTATTTTTACTATTGTACTAATACTTTTAATGAACAATGATACTTAATTCAAGTAAGTTCGCTTTAATTTAGTAGCATAATACGGCAAAATGGGGAAACTGAAGCAAGTAGTTCTACCACAACATGATAGATGGTGGGACTTGTACAAACAATAAGCAGTTAACAAATAAATTATTGGAATCTTTAAAATATAAATTAATCTAAGTAACCATAATAATAGTAAAAAAAATACCTTTGGATATGCATTTTGTTTTACACGACGTAACCCTTTTGTTGTGTAGTACAAATCGTCGCTCTGAAAATGAGTCGAACAAACCACGCTGCGGGAAGCTGGTTGCCACAATGGTTCATTTCTACTCTTACGAATGACTGCAATCCACTTCTCTTTTAGATCTTGATCTCGATTAGGAAATCTTAAAAAAAACGTATAATATATAATATGTATTACATCCCAAAAAAATTATACGAATACATAAAGAAAAAAGATGTTTCGTGTAATTGTTTATCCATGCATTACAATATTCGAATAATATAAAAGTATGCCACACAATGTATTTAATAAAATAACGTTACGTTATATTTCACGCTACCCAACAAAAGGGTAAAACTGTAACGAATAATCATGGCAACATTTCGTTCAGGTTTTGTTTACAAAGCGACAACCTCAAATTTGATTTTGATTAATTGAAAATAGCAGTTTATAACTTTACTTACGTATGAAATGTGATTCCATCCTGTTTTTTATTCTTGGAAGATTGGTTTTTACACGTTTTCACTACACGATTCGGCATTTTCTCTAATAAATATTGTTATTTATTATTACGTCACACTCCGCGCGTCGGGATAGCTCGACTGAGAATCCAAGGCGTAGTTTCGTTGCATGTGTGTGCGTGTAACTGTGTATGTACACGGCGAGGCGTAGTTTTATCGGCTTCACTTTTTGGTTCGGCAGACTCCGTCTATACTTTTTATTTGGTCTGAGATTTACGTGAAACTTCCAATCACGGTAGCACACAGCGAAAGGTCATTGTATATATTAAAATTAATTTAAAACTATCTAAGATCAACAGCAAAGTAGTTTGACAAATTTATCGTTAATAAGTATTGAACATGAACATTAATCAAAATTGAAGTCAGTGACATTGTTAAAGATTTCGCTAATGCAAAAGCACGAAAAGTATATTTTTTTTGTAAAATCGTACTAGGGGGTGCCAGGGTACTGATGACACACTGGCGCCACAAGGGCTAGAGCCGCCTCTGCCATTAAATAACTTTCATTGAATTATTATTTATCTAAATCACTACAAATGTCATTAATTTTGACATATGATTTACATTACACCAGCGTTGCCATTGATACGGTAATTACCGTAATATATGGCAATTCGAGCTCATAATTTCAGATTATACGGCATACGGCAGGTTTATCACTACCGTATAATAATATACGGCAATCCAATTTTGGTTTTGAATCGATTTACATGGATAATTTTATGAGTTAATTACAATTCCAACAAAACATCGTATTAAATTGTAGTTTAGGATACATACCTAGTTCAATCAGTTAGGTACTGAAACTGTAAATGGAACTCTTTTGGCAAAGCCATCAGAAATCAAGTAAACTGTACAACATTTCAGCCATCCCGTGGCATGTGTGTGAAAATTAAAAACAAGGACAAATATTGGTATCGATTCTGGCGTGATTCTCTAAACTTTAAAACTAAATTTAACATCAGTCTCACCTTTTCATTCTGTATAGAGAAGGACAAGGATGCACTGTTGTCAAATTTAAGTTAAGCTTTGAATCATGCCAGAATCGATATCATTGTTTAAGTAAATACGATAGCGAAATAGTTGTCTATTAGAAATTTAAATGGCGATGATATTAATGAGTTGGTTATTTTTTTTCTTCTATAATATTATTATTGTAACTACCTATAAATTTTAATAAATAAAAATAAGTAATACGACAAATATCATGATTTTTATTTAAAAATATGGCAATCTGATATATCGAATACGGCAACTATGTCAAACTTGATGGCAACACTGCATTACACGGATTAAATACCCAAACAAGTTTACTTCGTTCGTTTCTAGGTACTTAAATAAGATTTAAATTTTGTGTTTCAAGAAGTGAAATACTCTTAATTCCATTTAATTACCATAAAGGCATCATACAATCAATTTATTTAAAAGGTAAGGATAACTAAAAATGCCATGAAAAATGGCGTCCTTCTTTTAGCCATCGTCCGTAAATTCTCTCTTTGTTTGTAGATGCCGAATATTAAACTTCAATCTTCGGATAATGAAGTATTTGCAGTGGATATCGAAATTGCAAAATGCTCAGTAACTATTAAAACGATGTTGGAAGACCTTGGCGTGGATGATGAAGAAGAAGAAGTAGTTCCACTGCCTAATGTTAATTCAGCTATCCTCAAGAAAGTGATTCAATGGGCGACATATCACAAAGATGACCCCCCATTACCAGAAGACGATGAAAACAAAGAAAAAAGAACAGATGATATTTCGTCTTGGGATGCCGATTTCTTAAAAGTAGATCAGGGTACTTTGTTCGAGCTTATCTTAGCAGCGAATTATTTAGACATCAAAGGATTACTGGACGTAACTTGCAAGACAGTAGCTAATATGATTAAAGGAAAGACACCAGATGAAATCCGTAAAACATTTAATATCAAAAATGATTTTACTGCAGCTGAAGAAGACCAAGTTCGCAAAGAGAATGAATGGTGTGAAGAAAAGTGAAATTCCCTTATGAATGAAATAGAATAACCATGGTTTATTATTGCTAATTCTGATCTTATTATATTTAATTAATTCATCACTTGCACTGTCCACAATATAAAAGCCATAGAATCTGATGTTTCGTGTTACATAAATGTTAATTGTTTGATCAAATTCTTGAACGCTTGTTTATCAAAAATACTGGATGATAACGAATTATGGGTTGTGAATATTGTCACACTTTCATATTTAAAGTTACAAACAACATTGTCTATTAAGTTAAGGCTTGAATAACTACTTAAAATAAATTTTCATAATAAGCATCTAATATTTATTGTACTTTATTGTAACACACAGTATTATAAAAAGATTGCAGAGAAAACACTTAAGATGTGGTCATAGTAATTTTTTGCTTTCTATGACTAAACATGAGAGAAAATATCAATTTAACTTAACAAGGTTAATAATCAGATTTTTTAAGTTCAACACATGCATTACATTATAATCAAGTTATGCTTAGATATGTATCTTTTATAGTTGTATATGAACCAGGAATAAAATGACTATCAATGCAATTTAGAATGGGACTGTTGAATTTCCCAAGATAAGAGCCACAGGTGGCAGCACCTATCAACAGACCAGTTATAAACATGAAAACAGTGACTACAACAAGTACACACCAACAGTTGTTCTGCTTCATAAATATGTCTTTACAGATACACAAGAAATCATACACCGATCTGAAAGTGTAAAAGAAAATTGTACAAAAGCTCAGTAAAGTGTAGTGTCTGAAAATTTGTCCTTTGTTTTTATGAAGGGGATAAAATGCATTATATCTATGTACAGAATGTATTGCAGGTATTTTATTTTGATCAAACTATCTTAACCTCATAACTGAATGAAATTCACCTAATGCCAGCTGTCATACAAAGCCAGTACATTATGCTAATAAAATAGACGTGACGTTCGGAAGTGGTGGCACTGATGCTGCTGCTGGTCTGATTGTCTCTGGTTCGCGTATACTTAGACACCACGTCAATATTTTGCTATTTCGGTTTAAAGAACATCTGGCAGATTTTGTCATCGCACAGGTTCCAAAGATATTTATGAGGGTTTGGTGCAGCAGTTGCAACAACGTTGTCCTGGTTGCGCTTCCTATGTTTTACTACATCATTATATTATTTGTTCGATATTCTTAATTGTGTAGAAACCAAACCTACTACCTATAGCTCTACTATTCATTAAGTTGACTTTGTTCTTTTGAAGTTGTGTTGTCTCATAGTATATTTACCTGCAGCATCTAGTGTTCTCACACAATAATTTATCAGTCTCATCTAATACTCTTTGTAGTTGCTGCTGTGCTAATGTGATAACTGGACATTTTTTGTGCAATATGTTAGCTATTTCCGCATCAGGGTCAATGTCGCAGCTACATCCAGGTACATCATTTGAACAATCTTCAGTCCTGTCCCCGCTCCTCGGAGATATCTCTGATACATCTATGTTCCTGTGGATCCGGGGACTATCTGTTTCGTGTACATGTATTTGCCTTAAATTTTTCTTGTAACTTTTTCTTGAATACTTATAAGTATCTCTAACCTGGTAATCATCAGATGACATTGATAAATATCCTTTTTTATATAAAAAATATTTTCAATGTTATTAAAAAATTTAAAAAGATTGTAGTTCAATCTTTATAAATCTAATAAACAAGCTAGCTATTACATAAAAATGATTCTCTCTCTATAAATCGATTGCTGTATAAAAATGACATTTGTTTAAATTCATAAAGCTATTGGTGTCAATCTCAGAACTAATACCAGCCATAGGGTACGGCCAGAGTACGGGTGCGGCCAGAGTGCACTCAGATTCAGATTCCGAAAACAAGCGCGAGAAATAAACAGTGTAGTAGACTACAGGTTGCCTGCTTTTTCTCGCGCTTGTTTTCTGAGTCTGAATCTGAATCAGGAGTGCACTCTGGCCGTACCCTTCGAGTGCGGCCAGAGTGCACTCAGATTCAGATTCTGAAAACAAGCGCGAGAAATAAACAGTGTAGTCTAAGCAGGTTGCCTGCTTTTTCTCGCGCTTTGTTTTCTGAGTCTGAATCTGAATCAGGAGTGCAATCTGGCCGTACCCTTCGACTACACTGTTTATTTCACGCGTTTGTTTTCGAAATCTGAATCTGAATCTGAGTGCACTCTGGCCGCACCCTTCGACTACACTGTTTATTTCTCGCGTTTGTTTTCGGAATCTGAATCTGAGTGCACTCTGGCCGTAGGGTGCGGCCAGAGTGCACTCAGATTCAGATTACGAAAACAAGCGCGAGAAATAAACAGTGTAGTCTAAGCAGGTTGCCTGCTTTTTCTCGCGCTTTGTTTTCTGAGTCTGAATCTGAATCAGGAGTGCACTCTGGCCGTACCCTTCGACTACACTGTTTATTTCTCGCGCTTGTTTTCGTAATCTGAATCTGAATCTGAGTGCACTCTGGCCGCACCCTACGGCCAGAGTGCACTCAGATTCAGATTACGAAAACAAGCGCGAGAAATAAACACACTACGAGATATCGTTACGATCAGACTGTACAGTTCGAACGGAACAGTTTATACGATATCGTTTAGTATAGGAAACTGTGCAGTTTTATAACATACACGCTACGATTTATCGGTACCGTTCGGACTGTACAGTCTAATCGTAACGATTTCTCGTAGTGTGTATGGCCGGTATAAGAATAAATTATCATTCATGGACTTATTACCAATATAGCCTGCATAGACGAGTATTATTGGCCGTCGAAATAGATCTGATATTTTATATAAACTGCATCGAGCAAGCACAAAGTCCCTCGAACAACCGAGGACACAGACCGGATAACGCAATGCGGACTAAAGTTCGTTGTGTGCGTTGCTGCGCATTGTCACATGAGTTCAATATATTTTCAGGGACTCTCGCGTACTCTTGTCCTGTCTGGTCTCTCAATGTCCTCGGTTGCTGGGGGGATTATTTTGTAGGGGAGATTGTTAATATATCGTGCGTTACTCGATGCAGTTGTAAGCGATTTATTTTGGCACACAAGTCCCTCGTCTGCGCAGACTTTAAAGAAATGGAACCCCTGTTGAGTCCGTGACAAGTCAGATTCAGGACTATTTCCCTCCACGGACAAGTCTTTCGTCTGCGCAGGCCATTAATCTATGGGTACGGCCAGAGTGCACTCAGATTCAGGCTCAGAAAACAAGCGCGAGAAATAAACAATGTAGTTAAAGCAGGGTGGCCATAGTGGCAGCAGGCAACCTGCTTAAACTACACTGTATATTTCTCGCGCTTGTTTTCTGAGTCTGAATCTGAATCTGAGTGCACTCTGGCCGTACCCTATGGTGTCAAGCACAGAACACAGAAAGACATTAGAAGAGCCTTGTGGGCGGTTTAGGCTCCCCATAGTTATGTGTGAGGAAATGCTCATAACTTGGTTCTGATTGTGTCGTTGATCTCGGGTGTGACCGCTGATTGGTTCGTTGTTTGATGTCGCGGCATTTGATTGGCTATTATCTACTAGGTGGAAAAGTAGTGACCGGCGACGTCGGTTCCCGTGCAAACGGTATATGATTACCCTTCTAACCCCTTTGTGTTCTGTGGTGTGAAACATCAAGAACTTAGCAAGGAACAAAGGAACTTGAAGCATAAATAACATAAATATTTCCATCTCTCTCACATAAAATTTTATTAGAGTCTGTGCGGAAAGAGAATGGGGTTTAGATTGGAGGGCGCTGTAGTGCTTTTCTACCGTATTTGTAAGGTTTTATGCCTTTTAGCAACGATATTAAATACCCATATCGTTGCCTTTTAGACATGATTTTCTTTTCGGACTCTCAAACGATACGAATTCGATATTGGTTCGTGCTAGGGGTACAGTCACAAGTAAAGCAAATTCAATATATCTTAATTATCACATATGTAATCTGAGGTTGTTACATTACAAGCACGAAAAACTACGCGAAAACTTGTATTGAGAAGAATCGGCCCAAAATTCCGTAAGGGCTTTTTTTCTTCCTATCTTTTTACCCGACTGCGCAATGCAAGAGCGCGACGCATAGACGGTATAGTGTTCAGCGCAGACGGTATTTGTTTATCCGATGCGCAACTAGTTTTGTTTTTGAGCTGGTCCAACAGCGGGGGAAAATCGACAGAGGGGAAAGCTGTGAAAGCCTACTCTCCTCCTGGCCGCGTTGCTCTACGGCTGCTGTTCGAAGCTTAGAAAAAAAAATTGTGTATGTCAACTCCGACGCACGACCGGAGTTTACACTCTAAAAACGATTGTCTTTGAACAGACACAAAACAAAATCAAGTCCGAAGAAGTCGGTTACAAGTAGAGATACCTCAATAATCGTCCCATGGTTTCGACTATCGTGGGTTCCATGTCACACATTTTATCATCTAACATCAGCGATATTCATCATATATTTTATTCAAAGATTCCACACATCCAGTGGTTCGTATGTGTAAAAACCGCAAAAATAAAACATAACCCTGTCTGCGCGTCGCGCTTCGCGCTTTTGCATTGCGCAGCCGGGTAAAAAAGTGTCGTTCCGCTATCTGATACTGTGAGTGTGCCGGGAACAAATGCGAGTAAATAGTGAGAATGTGACCAGTGGTAGTGGTAGTATCGAACGCAGTAAAAGACGACGTCAGAGGGTAGACCGATATGTCTGGCAATAACATCTACCCGCAATTACTTCAGTTACTCCGTGATCATGGCGCTTGCAACAGTGCCGAAATATCGGAGACTCATAAAAAACAAGGTACATGGTAACAATCCCTATAAAATCATTTTTAGTTAGTAACGGCTGAATTGCTGCATTTTATGCTTGTTACGGTTAACACGCACCGCTAGATGGCGCTATTGACTTGAAATGCGCGGTTCAGAAAAGGAAGTGCTCTTCTGTAGGCCTGAAAAAATTACTGTCTACTGTCCAAAACTTGATGACACTGATTTTCTACTGACCAAATTCCACCCTTCGACGAAGTGTTTTAACCTTTAATGTGCTTATAATAATAATTAAATGGTAAGGTACAGTCAACGCATACAACGTGAAGAAAAAGAAACGTGGAGGGTAAAAAGGAAAACACAATATTGCAGAGCCTGCAGTCAACCAGAAGAGGGTGACAGAAGCAATTTCTATGTCGCATTTAATAACTTCTCAACTCATCAAATGGAGTGTGCAGTAAATTGCATATCCTTGTATTTTTTTTTTTTTTTTGATTCCTCCCAGGCGGGGGAGCGGGTGTGAAATCCTCATGGATACCTTACAGCCGGCTGCAAGGTTATGTCAGACTCTTACTGACTAAAACACACTCGTAGATCATGCTTATGGCCTGAAGGGCCTTACAAGCTTCATCTGAAGCGATTATCCCCTGAGGGGGGGATAATGCAGCATATCCTTGTAAAATATGCAAAATATAAATAACATTTGGCGAAGGCGAATGTAAGATTAATTTAAAATGCATAATGCAGGACACATATCACAACAGACTCACTGCAATTAAATAAGTTTCTTTAACGTTTTGCTCTAAGACTATAGCTCCTCTTCATCATCACCAGCCTATTAATGTCCCCACTGCTAGGGCACAGGCCTTCCTTATGGATGGAATAGGGAGATTGGGCCATGACCCACCACGCGGGCCCAGTGCGAATGGTGAGTGCTAACGACTGCAGATGTAGCCGGGACCAACGGCTTAACATGCCTTCCGAAGCACGGAGAAGCTCGAGATAGTAAATTTTTGGTCACCCATCCAATGACCGACCACTGCGAAAGTTGCTTAACTTCAACGATCGCAGCCGAAAGCGCTAACCACTTGTGCCATCGAGCTCCTCATAGCTCTTCTTGCTACGTGATCAAAATTCTTTCAATCAACTCATTTCAACCGATACTAAGAGGGGCACAACGTACAAATAAATTTCAATAAGTCAATTCTGTAATTTTAGACGTAAACATAAATATAACACGATCAACATTAACATTTTAATAATTTGAACTAATTTCTTAAACATAGTATGTTTATATAATTGAATTCTTCTTAAGCACGCACAATACTGTCAGTCCCCGAATGATTGATGCATGAGTTTCTTAGAGTATTCGTAGAGCACGAATAAAGCGGCTGTAGCAGGAATCGTCCTTACAAGAGTGGGCTTTAAGCCGTTGTATAAAGCCAACACACCTGGAAAAGAAGTGCATTTTCTTGTTATTTCAAAGGGCAGTTAATTCTCCATTCCCCACCTAATGTTAAGTGTTATTCTGGTTGAGAGTCTGGTAGAGTGTGACTTAAGTCGTATGCGGAGATGCTATTTAAAACGAAAGCTTAAACGATTGTTATCCAAAAGGCAGTCAAGTAACAATAATTATGTTGTCTGAGAAGGATCCGTTTTGTTTGACCACATACAACCAAATATTCTGTGAACATTTCAAGTGGCTACCTGTTGCCGTTATTAATATAGAGCAAAAAACGTGAAAAAAAGATAACAACAAACTTTTTATCACGGTTTAACAATTGTTGTTATAGCGGCAACAGAAATTCATAATCTGTGAAAATTTCAGCTGTCTAGCTATCACGGTTCATGAGATACAGGCTGGTGACAGACAGGCAGACGACCAGCGGAGTTTTAGTAATATTACACTTTGGGTAGGAGTGGGCGATACAAATCGTATATAGATATTGAAACGTATATTGCATCAATATGCGAGATTTTGTAAAATTTTGAACGGTTTTAGTCATAAAATTGATTTACACTTTGATAGTCCCAGTACAATAACATCAGCCATTAGTAGGAACTTGACGGATTGAGTGCCCGAGAAGTTTATTTTTTATTTAAGATCCTTTGTTTTTTAAAATGACCCTTTTTTGGACAAAATAACATATAAGTTAAGGTATATTAGGTAAAATTTTAACACAAACTGTTTGATATAGATATGGTATATGTGGTGTTTACCTATAATTATTTGTAACACTGATATAAGTGTCTCCGTGTGTATAATTGTAATTGCTTAAGTGTTACAATTGTTGGTAAGCCTTTTAATAAATAAATAAATAAATATCGTCAAATCCGATATCAATGAAACTATATATTTTGGCAAAACATTATATTGCATTGGGAATGCGATACGCGTTGATAGTACTGTATCGTATATAGACTGTTTAAAGTATATTGAACCGTATCACAATGGAATATGAGCGCGACCAACGCCAAGTGGGAGTAGAGGGAGAGCGTATGATGAGATGAGAGTGAAACAGCAATAGTTACGTACGATGCAACGCATACTGCAATTTTTCACTTTATTCTCATCGTAATAAAATAGTTTATATACTTTTGTTATTATTTTTGTTGATTAAATCGTTAACCTTATTTCTTAGGGAATAATGGTGCTTTGACACAATTTAATTTCTACTCTCGTTGACCTCTATCCTTGAACCCCAGGAAAAGAAATTTGGTGCGGATTTGAATTTTTATTATTTCGTAGATTCGAACGTCCAAACACGTTCAATTAAATTGCATTAGCGTATTATTTTGTATTGTTGGTGTATTATTTATCTTCCGGTTTTTTATGTTTAGTTTATTATCTATATTTTTAACAAATATTCCTGTAAAAAAACAGAAATCAACTTAATTACTCCCTTAAATACATGGATAAATACTGCAATATCTAACTCCTAGTCCTACCTGATGTTGATGTACATATCTAAAACTCACATAACGGTTATGTATCAGTACCAGGAAAATATAGTTTTCCATTGCATTGTTATCCTGTAATGATATATGGTTGATATGGTCGTCAGCGATATCACCGATATCAAAATATATAGTTTCAGAATCCGATATCGAATATCGATATATAGTTTCGATTTGATTCAGACAAAAAGCTATATTACCCACCTCTAACTTTGGGTGGGTATGGAAACCTAAAAAAGAGGCCAAGAGGGCAGAGGCAGCAATAGCCACAATCGTTACGGTTACTGATATCTATTTTGATTTATTTACTAAATCCAACGATATTGAATACCCTAGATACAACAACACGAAAAAAATCGTGGCCGAAACCCGTCCAAAAGGTACATTGGATGATCCATGGAGCTTCGTAAGGTGATCGCATTGTCAAAAACAATATAAGGCATTATTTATACAATGAAAGTCACCTTTAATACATACTGTATAAGGTCTTAATTAAAACGCATGCGTCAAAGAGTTATGACAGTTCGAAATGCAAGCTCGTAAAAGGACACCCGGCATTATGTGCCAAAGTTGTATACTTTTTTAATTTTTTTATCTGTGTTTCATAATTGGGTAACGTAGTCTGGCAATATTTGTCAATATAATCTCTTTATGTAGCCAGGTCGTCAAGAGAAATAACGGATAAAAAGGCAATCACAGCAGAGAACATTCACAATCACAGTACGCGGGAGCGGATGCGAAATGCGAATGATTTTTTTGTTTGTATTTTAGGATTGTCAAATTGACATTTGGTTTTTTATTTAGAAAAAGCAAAGGAATCATGGTTTTTACAGTCACTTGAGTAATATTTTGAAGTAAAATTCTGTCCCTTGAAGATTTAGGGTTTCCATATCAAAAAATATTAATCATTATATAACTTCTTTCCACGATTAACTAAAAATAAGGCAAAAGTAGTTTTATGTAGCAAATAATTTTGGCTTTATTTTGAGACCAAATTCAACTGTATAAAAGTTTAGCATTTTTTCTATGAAAAGTGCCGGGTCTCCTTTTACAACTTATTGCTATACTAGAGGTCGCCCGCGACTTCGTCTGCGTTAACTTTAGTTTCTTGAAAATCCCACTGGAACCTAACATTATTTTCGGGATAAAAGTAGCCTATGTGTTAATCTAGGGTGCCAGCTAACTCCATACCAAACTTTATTAAAATCGCTCCAGCCGTTTAGACGTGAAGTATCAAACATACACGCTCACATACTCACACACTCACAAACTTTCGCCTTTATAATAATGCGGAAGAATATAGACCTTATTTCTTTGTCTCCACGCGCAATTCTGAATGCGCTGTTAGCAAAATAGCAGTTAGGGACCGCCAGGAAAAGAGACGACTATATTACCGACCACGCATTTGAATACCACAAATATTTTCTATTAAATCAGTTTATAGTAATTATTAGAACAAAAAAATATGCTTCAAATGCGTTAAATTTATAAACATTGATTAAATATCTGTCGCAAAACCGACACTTAACGTACTACAAGTATTGTTTTCGTATTTTTTCACGGAGCTCTGCGGCATCTTTACTTTTCAACGGTCCGCGCGTGACTGTGAGCCAAGAAGTGCTTGAGTGCTGTTCAAGCACTTCTTGATTGGGACACATATTGAGTGCAGGTGGTGTATCTAGGGTATTTAAATATCGTTGTTTCAACGGTCTGCTTGTAGTCACAAGCAGACCGAGACTGAGTGAACCAAGAAGTGCGTGAGTGGTGTTCAAGCACACATTTTGAACGCGCGTGTTGTATCTAGGGTATTTAATATCGTTGTCTACATCTAAGATTTTAAAATAGGCCCTGCCTACGCAGCGGGTTTAGCAAGCGCTGCTTGAGGCCACTGATAATGATCGCCAGAGGCCCAAGCATGAACTTTGACAGATCTGTAATCGTATCGTCATCGTCAAATTTTGTATAGAAGGAGCCATTTTGTTCTCTCCTACGTAGAGTAGCGCTGCTTAGATTCCATAGAAACTTTGACGATAGATAACACTTTATTGCCCACACCACATTAAGTATTAAACACTAGGAAAAAACTGAAAATAGTGAACAATTTTCGGTCTTATCGCTATATAGCAATTTCTGCGATGTGATACGAAAGCTTCGTAAAGCTGTCAAAGTTCGTACTTGGGCCTCAACTTGCAAGTTTGTATCTCATCACATCAAACTGTAGCGACTTAACTGTACTTACAGCTAATAACATTTACCTTCTTTTTTAACAATTTCATAGCCAACTGTTAGGAATTTCTGTTTCTCTGTAGAATTGTATATTTGGACCCTAGATTTTATGACATCAGTTGGGAATATAACTGTCCATAGTACTAATCCCCCGACGGCGCCCGCCAACATGGTTCTAAGAAAACCGATTTCATCTTTAGCTTGGCCAGGCTTCCTCAGCAATTCTCTGGTACCTGAAAATGTTTATTAAAATAATTATGGATTTTGTAAAATACATTACTTAAACTTTAAAAATATGAGGGCTACAAATTTATTATATAAAATTCTCGTGTTACAGTGTGCGTAATTGAACTACTCCGAAACGGCTCGACCGATTTTCGTGAAATTTTATATGCATATTCAGTAGGTCTGAGAATCGGACATCTATTTTTCATCCCCCTAAATGTTAAGGGTGGTCCATTCTTAATTTTTTTTGGACGAAATTTGTTGTTTTTTTTTATTATACGTCATACAAAAATACATACAACACTAAATTTTCACCCTTCTACCACCAACCCCTTTTTTATGGCGGTACGAAGTTCGCTGGGTCAGCAAGTTATTTTATAATATAATTCATTTTTTTTTATATTTTAATTTATAGGGAATAACTATTACATGTTATAATCTAAAGAAAAAGCGGCCAAGTGCGTGTCGTGCCACGCGCAGTGTGAGGTTTACTAGTTGCCTATCGTTACACAATGTATTTGAGGAGCTAGGGTGTATTCCGAATCAAACACCAGTACGCTGGCCAGTGGTAATGACGTCATATTGCACTGGTGTAGTAGTAGTGTTGTCAATATGGCGTCGAAATCATGACGTCATTACCGCTGGCCAGCGTACTGGTTTATATTTCGGAATACACCCTTTATTTTGTGTATCGAAAATTTAAAAATTCAATTAATATCAAACTATGTATCTAAACTAAAATACCTAAATGAAAGTCAAAATGCGTCACAATCACAAATTCAAAATCAATTTTATATTATTATTATTTTTAAATATGAATAATAACCGCCGATCTTTTAAGTGCTTATATAGGTACTCCTTAAAATAACGATAGCGCCGTTCAGAAGACGTTGCCGTTGGTACTCGCGGTAGCGTTGTGGAACTAATGATATTTTATTGTGGTTTTTAAATAGTTTTTGTTTTTCAATGCAAGGTTTTATGTAGAGAATCATACTCCATTGCTTAAATCCTAAGGCACGTAAGTATGTAGCTAAATGCACTTGTATGGTTCAGACAGAACCAATAAAAAGTTTGTTATCTACATTGACTCGACCAAGATGGGACTTGTGACCTCATAGATAAGAGGCGTCAACGCCAAGTCAGATAATTGATGTGTACAATTATTTTACCTTCGTATCCACCAAAAAAGAAGAAGTATCCCGGCATTTCTCGCATTATTGTGGGCACCAAGCCCCTAAACAAGCCTTGTATACCATATTGACGGAATATTTGTTGCGTCAATTGCAAGGGCGTCACTTTGACCTGTTATCAAAACAAAGATAGTAAACGCTGGCGTATTTCGATAAGGGAACACTATTATAATCAACTACGCTGTAATTGAGCGACGAGATATATTCAGGGGCCGTCCCATAAACTAGTAACGCGATACATACAAACTGGTTGAAAGACTGCGATGCTTAGGTACTATGCAGATACAGCGAAGTCTCATTTCGGTAGTTATAAATCAGTAAATTGTGTTGCCTTATGAGTTACGCTTATTAGTAAAGGCCTATATCGTTGCCTATACTATATTAGGTATCTTATCTCATTTATGTATTTATGATTACAATTAAAAAATACAATAATTATCAACACGAAATGTGTTTGTTTAATAGTATCTGATTTTATTGATTAATGTTGGCCCCCCATTATTCCTGATACGATAAACAAGTACTTACGTACTTAAATACCTACTTAATAGTAAAGATGAAAGTGCCTACTTAAATTATTTAAAGGTGGACATGTAAGGAGGTACCATCATCATCACAACCTATTAATGTCTCCACTAATGGCCCCAGGGCACAGGTCTTTCCTATGGAAAGAAATAGGGAGATTGGGTCTTGCCCCGCCACGCGGGTCCAGTGCGGGTTGGTGGGTACTAAGGACTGCAGATGCAGTCAGGACCAACAGCTTAACGTGCCTTCCGAAGCACGGAGGTGATCGAGATTATAAGTTTATGGTCGTGACCAACCGTTGAGACAGTTGCATAACTTCCATAGCCGACCGCGCTAACCACCTATGCCATCGCGCTCCTCCTAAGTAGGTACACTTTTTTATAATGAATCATGTTAAGTATATTAATAGACAGGAAAGAAGATGTCTTCTTGTGTTCATTTCCTAAGCCACTGGACCCAGTCAATGAAATTTTCTGCTAATTAAAAATAATTCTGAACAAACTTAACAAAACAAAATAGCCCCCCAAATATATGTGTGTCACTTAATAGAAACACCCTCAATAAAGGAGGAACAAAAACAAATACACATTAATAAAGTAGAAATTATCTACATTCTTAATGTGACGGTTTGTTTGAAGATGTTTATGTTAATTATATTTTGACTATATTATGATGTATGACTTATATTAATAATACACTGATAATATTAGGCTATGTACACATGTAGACAAGACATTACAAGCTTAGTTTAGCTAAATACAACTGTATGTTTAGATATTTATTGTAATGAAACATATCACCTACAGCTGTTTGGGAGCTTTGTACATTGACTTCCCTCATGGCTTGTAATTGACACTTGATGAGTTCAGTTGGGCACAAAGTAAATGATGAGAAAAATGCAGCTAAGAAACCCGCTGATGCATTCCCAACTGCTGACAATTGATCAACACTCTAAAATTTAAAATAACAGGACAACAAAATATTAGAATGAAAAAATCACAAATTAAGGGAAAATAACATATAATGGAATAAAATTAACCTCTGTGCCTGTTATGTTACAAACAAACTTCTGACAATAACCATATGCCGCAAACAGAACACTGTTTTCAGCAACATTAGCCATGATTGCAGGTGTTGTGCCAGCATATAAACCTCTTATGAAACCATCATTTCTTAAAGTTTGTTTCAGACAATGGTACATTCCTTTATAAAGATGAGGAAAAGTTTGCATTTTTACTTTGACAGTGTCCAACGGCTGACCCACATATACTACAGCCACTCCACCTGTGGAAGTAGCAATCACATCACACCCATTACTGTTCATCATTACTGTTTTTGGCCATTAATACAGAGAATGAAGAAGATAAATGATAAGTCACATATGAATTATACAATGTAATATGATCCCTTGTGCCCATTACAAATGAATATTATTAAATATACAAATCTGGATGAAGTAGTTATATTTGAAAGGAAATAGTCACTCACCTAGAGATCCTGCTGTAAAATCAATGATACCATTTTTAAGATTTTTTGTAGATCCTGAAGAATGAGTCATTTTGTTTATTTTTACTGAAACAATGGCAATAATATGGTATGAATCTGAACAAACTTATTTTTTAATCAATAAAAATTAGGTTAGAGAATATTCCCCAAAAAAATATTCAGGAATGATCAATTAAAATAATATTATGTACATGAAAAAATATTGCAGATATAACTTTGAGGGCCAGTTTATACAAGAGATTACAAATGATGTTACTTTTTGATGAAATCCACAAATGTATTGTGAAAATGAAAAATGTTGAGCAGAAGCAATCAATGGAAAGTTATCAAATTTGTATTTACTTGCAAAACACAAATCAAGTAAAGAAATTAAATAGAAATTTGAACACTTTCGCGGTTTTGTCGTCAACTTGATTTTTATGTACAATTTTACTTAATAATTGAGCGAATTTGCACACTATGCACCGGACACACGGTTCTTCGTTTTTAAGTTTAATTCTAAAGAAGGAATGTTGAACTTGTTGAACTGACACTGGCCACAGACCAATAAGAGAACAAGTTGACACTGGCACAGTGGCACATGACACCCACGTGGATATGACATTGACAGTGACATAAAGACCCGAGGCCTTTGTAGTAGGTCACTTTTTTAAAGGCTCCATTTTCGATGTGTAACATCTTTCATCTCGCTTTCCTGCAATTTGTGGGAGTGATTTCGTGAAATGGGACGGAAGTGTGTAACAGGAAGTCGCGAAAGCGCGCGCTATTTGTACCTGATTCAGATTGAGACTCAGAAAACAAAGCGCGAGAAAAAGCAGGCAACCTGCTTCGACTACACTGTATATTTTTCGCGTTTATTTTCTGAGTCTGAATCTGAATCTGAGTGCACTCTGGCCGTACCCTTACTTTTGAGAGTGCTCGATTGTGCGAAGCGTTGCTGTAGTTGAAACATTCAACGTTAAGCATTATGCCGCTTTCGTATGATGTGTGCAATCGTACCAACTCAGTGACAGAAAATTAACAAGTGTTTTTTCTTTAAGTTGGCATTGATCGAAATGTTTTAATTATATGTTAAGCCCGTCACAGACGTAGCTATAATATATATTAATATATCGAAATATATATTATCTTATAGCAAACTACCACAGACGGAAGCTATACTATAATATATATTTTGCCCTCACTCGGTCTGCGGCCGTACTGTACCGTAATATACCGAAATATATCTGTCGACATATTTTGGTGACGCCTTAGAAATATATATTATAACTGCGTGTGCGGTCACTCGAAAATTTATATTGAAAATATGTTGTAATATGTCTTGCTGTGATTCATATTAATATATATTATAGCTACGTCTGTGACGGGCTTTATCGTTAGTAATATAATTATATATTGTTGAAAAATTATTAAAGCTTTCGTTTCACTATAGTTTTATTTGAAATAATCAAAGTTAATTCAAACTGTGTTAAAAAAATATGGGTGCGTGTACTTAAGTACGCGCGTGAGAAGTTATACTTCTTTTTGGAATTATTAAAAAATAGTTTTTAATTGCATGCCACAGACATATAATACTATAGCAGACGGAACATAAAACCTAGTTATATTTATGAATCAAAACATGATCTTTTATCCTTTTTGTACTCAGCTACAACTCGATAATGGTATCTCATTCTTCCATCTATTGCAATACTGACTCACACATCAACAAATGTCAAAAAAGGGCGCGAAATTGAAAAGTGAAGGCGCGGTTTTTAAATTTTTATTTATTTAAATAAGAAAAAAGCCCTTTTGATTTAATTACTGCTGCTCAAATGGGCAAATCAAGTGGCGGAAGAGGATCTCCTATGGAGACCGCTCAATCTGAGGCTTTAAAGCGTTTTTTTTTTTTTTCTATTTTGGTTTTACGGCACTGGGTTCTGGCCCTTTTCTGCCGGACCAGGAAGGTTTTCCTTTCTTCGTTCAAAGTTTTCCCCATTCTTCTGTGTTGATAAATTTTATAACGTTATATTTGAATTATTTAAATATTTAACAAGCGGTTTAAAACTTAATGTATTATTGAGCAGTTTAGGCAGAATATTGTCATCACTAATATCACTTGATAAAACGTTATTCAAGCTGTCAATGTCACTTAGTTCACTGACCAGTAAAAGTCTGTTTAAGAAAAGCGCGGGAAACTTCCAACTTGGCGGACGCGTTCTTTTGGCATCTGAAAATATTTACTTAATAGAAGTTAAAATAGTGATCAGCGGATAGGTTTGTTTATTAATATTGTATATATATTTAGTGTATTTCTTTATTTATTGTCCCTGCTGCCTTGGTAAGTCAAAATTTGATTATTATCTTATAGTTGTATGAACGTCCCCCCGGAGCCGGGGGGATGTGTCCCCCCGGCTAGTAATTTTGTTACCATTACTTCAAATAATGAATCTGGTATGGAAACAGATGGTTCCATGTCCAGTCGCACATTAAAACGGAGCCGGCTCCATGTTTGCAAACATTGCAACAAAAAAAGGCGCAAACATTCCTCGTCAGAACCTAAAGTTACAGATTGCAGTTGCTATGAATCCACCGCAACGCCAGTCCAACAAGAATCAAATAGCCTGAGTGTCAATGACTCTAAAACTTCTCCTGTGTCCATACCCTCCCCAGTACTGATTCCTATAGGTAGGAAGTTTTATGACAAAACCGATGCTTCACCTTTTGTAGTGCATGTACAGAGAGAGCAAGATTCATCATCAGACGGAATCACAATGCATCCCATGTCGTTTGGTAAATTTCTCAAACAAAACTCTTTTTACAATATAATTAATGGAAGCGTAAAAAAGATTGGGCGAAATAAAATGCAAGTTTCGTTCTCAAAATTTACTGATGCAAATAATTTCATCAATCATAGTAGTTGGTCAAAAAATAATTTAAAAGCATATATTCCAACATTTAACATTACACGAATGGGTTTAGTTAGAGGTGTCCCTGCAGAGTGGTCTCTGGAGGAAGTTAAAAGTAATATTTCTGTTCCCATAGGTTGTGGTGAAATTCTGAAAGTAAGGAGACTAAATTATAAATCCTTTGTAGATGGAACTCCTACCTGGAAGCCATCCCAAACTATAGTTTTAACCTTTGATGGCCAAATTTTACCAAAACGAATTTTCATGTGTTACAATGCACTCAATGTGGATCTGTATATATTTCCTACAATCCAATGTTATCACTGCTGCCGTTTCGGACATACTAAAGTTCAATGTAGATCTAAACCTAGATGTTTTAAATGTGGTCAAAATCATACAGGTGACTCATGCAATATCACAGAGGAAGATGCGCTCTGCTGCTGGTGTGATGGGCATCACTACGCCAATAATAAATCCTGTCCGGAATATGTTAGGCAATCCCAAATAAAATTATACATGGCACAAAACTGTGTATCATACGCAGAAGCATCAAAATTACTTCCACCCATATCTAGGTCCTATGCTGATACTTTAATGACCCCTTCCACAAAAATAGTAAATGAACCTATGATTAGTAATTTATCTAATAGTAACATAAACCACACAACATCTTATAAAAAAACTATTTTTAAGAAACCGCGTAATATGCCTGCATTTTCAAAAGGCTATGATACCATAGCCCATAATACTATATTGAAGGAATTTGCAATTCCTACCCCTAACAATGGCTGTGGTCTTAGTACAAGTGATGACAGAACATCCTCAGTGAATCAACTCCCTCCTGATTTTATTAATGCTCTCTTCAATGTGTTTACTCAATTCAATATCCTTCCACCGTCCAACGCTGCTCAGATTACTAAAAATAACATTCAATTCATCAATGGACAGACAAACAGACAAGATAATACAGTGGAACTGCCGTAGTGCCCTAAGCAAAAAAAATGAAATTATTCATTTAATAAATAAATTAGAGCCTTCTGTTTTAGCCTTGTCTGAAACATGGCTTACATCTCAAAGAAATTTTAAAATTAATGGTTATCATACTATTAGAGAAGATAGAATGGATGGCTATGGTGGAGTAGCCATTCTAATTAAAAATGGTGTTATTTATGAACCCATTACCTTAATAAGACATAGTGAAGAAATTTCAATGATTGCAGTGAAAGTTCATAACATATGTTTAGTATCTATTTATTTATCTCGCCCATCATCTCCAATTTTTAATGAAATAAATAACATGTTTTCATCTCTCCCTAAACCCTTTCTAGTACTAGGAGATTTTAACTGTCACCATCAAGCATGGGGATGTACAGTTACTAACAATTATGGTGAAAATTTGTTAGATATAATGGAATCACATAACTTATGCTTTTTGAATACAGGTTCCCCCACTCGCCTCACCAGTCCTAACCTTAATGCAAGTGCTGTGGACTTATCAATCTGTACTACAAATCTAGCTTCTTCCTTATCTTGGCATACTCTTCCTTCTGCATATGGAAGTGACCATTTTCCTATTATTATATCTTTACCCTTTAAAAAGCCTCATAACTTTAGATGGAAAACCACAAGAAGATATAATTTACCAGATAAAAAATCTAATGACTGGAATAAGTACAAATCTTCTGTTGAAAATAAATTATCATCTCTCCCTATTATCACTCCCGGTAATGAAAACAGTTGTGCAGAGGCATTAGCTAGTATTTTAAATGAAGCTGCCATAGAATTGTTTCCTATTAAAAATAACACCCACATGAAAATACCATCTCCTCCTTGGTGGGACAAGGATTGCTCTGAGGCTGTGAGGAAGAGAAAGCAGGCAGAAATCATGTACAATACTAATATGACAGAATTTAACTATGATAACTTAAGTAAAGTAGTTGCAGAAACTAAAAAATTATTTAAAAAGAAAAAATTCGAAAGCTGGAGAAATTTTTGCAGTTCTATTTCACCAGACACGCCCGCTACCCTGGTCTGGCGTAACATAAAAAGATTTAAATCCGCCTATAATACTTCCTCTCCTGTCACTATGCCTCCTGCAATAGTTAACGATTATATGGACAAATTGGCCCCACCGTGGACTCCCATTCCCATGCTCAACACTTCACAGGTTTTACAATTGAGTAGTAGCTCTGGATTGAATCGTCCTTTCTCCCTTCAAGAACTTAAGAGTGCTGTTTTCGACTATAAAGATTCTGCCCCTGGGGCAGACGGAATTCCGTATTCGTTTTTCGCAAATGTTAGTGATAACATCTTAACCTATTACTTGCAACTTATCAACACTATCATGATAACAGGTGACATACCTCTGTCATGGAAATCACAAATAGTGTTGCCCATACTCAAACCTAATAAACCACCATCACATGCATCTTCATACCGTCCAATAGTTTTAGCAACTGTTTTAATTAAACTAGCTGAACTTTTGATAAAAAATCGCCTTGAATGGTATTTAGAAAGCAGAGGCATGCTATCCAAAACACAATACGGATTCAGAAAAGGAAAAAGTACAATGGACAATTTAAGTATTTTATCAACTGACATTCGTCTGGCTTTCACATATAACGAATCCGTAGTAGCAGCATTTTTGGATATAAATTCTGCATATGATCACGTATTATTATCAGTTTTGAAAAGTAAACTAGAGATACTAGAGGTTCCTCAAATGTTAACAAATTTTATTATGAATATACTAGCCGAACGAAAATTAATAATTAGCTTACCGAATAGTCTTGAAATACAAAGAACTGTATGGAGAGGCTTGCCCCAGGGATCAGTTCTTAGTCCTTTACTTTACAGTGTATATACTCACGATTTTGACACTTTATTTGAAAATAATATTAAGTTGTTGCAATACGCTGATGATCTATTGATTTATTCTACAAACCGTCACATAGATAATTCTTCTTTGCATATTAACTCAGCTTTACGTTCTTTGAGTTCTTGGATGAACGATAACGGTCTAGAATTATCTGCTTCAAAGAGTACTATTGTAATATTCTCACGAAAGAAGATTCCCCCTCCCGTTAGAATTTATTATAATAATATATTAATTCCCATTGAACCCCAAGTAAAATTTCTGGGAGTCGTGTTGGATTCCAAACTTACCGGTAGTGCACATTGTGATTTTATTATAAGTAAAACTGAACGACTTTTAAATCTTCTCCGATGTCTTTCAGGAGTTTGGTGGGGGGCCCATCCGCAATCCTTAAAACTAGTGTATAATGCATTAATCCGAAGTGTACTGGACTACGGAAGTTTTCTCCTAGAACCTGCCAATTCTACTGCACTGAAAAAGCTAGATAACGTTCAGTCGAAAGCGTTACGAATAATAACTGGTGCTATGAGATCCAGCCCAATTAATGCATTGCAAATTGAAACTTGTGAACCCCCACTTAACATTAGACGACAACTTCTTGCTGACAGATATCTATTCCGTTTACTTCAATTTTCCAACCATCCTCTTATAAATCTACTTTGTTCTTTGAATGAAGAAATAACATCAGCAAGTTACTGGGCACATAAATCTCTCCCATGTTTGATAGTTAGTTATCGAAAGTATATAAGTATACAATCACCTATACACCGATCAAACCATCTTCCCATTTTTACTATTGATTATGATGCCTTAGAAATAGCACCAACTATTCAATATGATTTAATTGATAAAAACCATGCACACCCAAGTATAACCTTCAAATCAATTATAGATACTGAATATGACGACTTTCATCATATATTCACTGATGCTTCTAAGTCCTCTCCGTCTGAGTGTACAGGTGTAGGAGTATTCCACTCTCAGTTTTCTATTGTCCAAAAAACTAAACTTCCTCCGGAGACATCTGTTTTTACCGGAGAATGTATTGGTTTATTAAAGGCTGTTGAATATATCTTTGTTATGAAACTGCGAAAAACTGTAATATTTTCCGATTCAATGAGTGCTCTTCAAGCCCTAAATAAATTCCCTTTCCGTACTAAATCATATTTTCCTGTAATATTTGAGATAAGGAATTTTCTAAATAAATTCATGAAAATGGGATACATGGTAGAGTTTGCATGGCTCCCGAGTCACTGTGGAATTCAAGGAAATGAAAAATCCGACCAGTTAGCCAAAGAGGCAGTGCATTGTGGTGACGTGGTTCCTTATAAATGTTATAGCCAGGACTTGCTATCTCTACCATTGTGCGATTTGCGAAGTGAATGGCTTACAAGTTGGACAAGTAGTGCACAAATAAAAGGAAAATACTATTTTACAATACAACCTACTATTCCTTTAAAGCCATGGTTTCGTAATGCTAAACTTGGTAAGACTGCTACTAGCATATTAACGCGCATGAGACTTGGACATGTTACTACACCAGCACATCTCTCTAAGCTTGGAATTGTCAGCGATCCTGCTTGCGGGTGCGGAATGGACACAGGGGATCTTAACCACATCCTGTTTTCCTGCCCTCTATACAATCGATATATTTTTTTAAATGGCCTCATTTCTTTAGATGTTCCTTTTCCAACATCCGTAATAACCCTACTCTTCTCTAATAATTTACAGATTTATAAATGTATAGCATCTTTCATAATGTTAAATAATATTAGAGTGTAATCATCTCTATTCGTATTTTATGTATGTATATTTATATAAATATACCAATTCTGTCTCCTGATCCTATCCTCTAAATTCCGATCCAAAATGCATAAATTTCCTACTAATGTTTCCCTACCTTTGACACTGGCAATGCACAAATCGTGTCGTGCCATTAAAAAAAAAAAAAAAAAAAAAAAAAAAAAAGTCTGTTTAATTTAAAATCTTGATGACGGCATTTCAGAATCAGATGATTCAAGTCTGCTCCTTCCTCTTCGCAGATTAAGCATTTGGAATCTCTGGCAATTCGGATCTTGTGTAGATGAGCAGGAATTTTACAGTGACCAAATCTCATGCGGCAGGTGGTGGTAATAAAGTTACGGTTTAAATTTCCTTTAAGTTGCTTAGGATGATACCACGGACGGGCGGGCAATGTCTTCTGTATGTCGTGGTACCATTTCCCTTTCTCTGAAGCAACATGATGCCAATAATTGGACCACATCAGTTTGTGGGACTCAGTTAAATAAGTGTTAAAGTCGGTGTACGGTACTCTGCAAATTTGAGTATGATCTTCATCAGGTTTGTTATGGGTAACGTTATCTACAACCTCGTTACCAGTTATGCCTTGGTGTGATGGTACCCACAGAAACTTGATCATCTTCCCTTTGTTTTGCAATATGTGTAATTGATTTCTTATATAAAAAATTAAGTAATTTAAATTATGCCTAAATACGTTATTTCCTAAACTAGACAAAACACTTTGAGAGTCCGTTATTATCATAAAGTCTATATTATTTACATATTCTATGTACAATAATGCTCTATATATTGCATAACATTCTGCAGTAAATATGCTGCAGTTATTATCTAACTTGAAACATTTAGTAAGTTTAACTTGGGGGTCATAGAAAGCAGAAGTTACAGTGTCTGTAGTTTTAGATCCATCTGTATAAATATTGTAGTGGGATGGTAGCTTTTCAAATAGCTGTAATAGATCATTTTGTTCAAATATCCTTTGAGGAATTATATTTACATTTACATCTATTAACTCCTTAACATTAAATTTGTACAAAGGATGAGGTTTGGAAGAAAATATATTTACAGTTCTTTGTTTAACATGAAGGATAATTCTTAACAACTCAGGAAATTGACCTGTTGCTAATTGATTTGCTTCAACATATTGACCAATAATTGGAAGATGTTCCTGGGGTAAGATTCTATCAAGTATAGCATTGTTTTCTGTTGCTATTAATTTGAGACTGAACTTTTCTGCAATTTTTAGCCTATGTAGAGCCAGTGGCGGAATACCAGATTCAACTTCCATTGAATTTATAGGCGTGGAACACATTGCCCCTGTGATGATTCGTAATGCCTGATTTTGAAGTATGTCCAGTCTTCTCAGTTTTGTACAATTTGTATTTAAATATGCAAGGCAACTGTAGTCAAAATGACTACGTACAATACTTTTATAAAGCATAGAAAGTGTATGTGGATCTGCACCCCAGTGTACACCAGCCAAACAACGCATAACATTTAAGCCTTTTGTTGCATTTTTTGAAATGTATGTTATGTGGCTTTCAAATGTGAGTTTTTGATCTAAAAACACTCCAAGAAATTTCTTTTCAGTTAGCCAAGGAACATTAAGATTGTTATATTTAACATGAATATTACAAATATTGGCCTTTTTACTAAATAACATGGCACCACTTTTGCTAACATTAATTTTTAATCTAAGTTTGTCCTCATAAAAGTTTTTAATCTGCATAAGCCCTATATTTAAATTATTAACAGCTATATTTACATTGTGATCCTTAGTATATAATACAATATCATCTGCAAATTGTAAAAACTTTAAATTTCTGTGTGTTAGGTATTGCGTAATTTGACTAGTATAAATATTATATAGCAAAGGGGAAATACAGGCACCTTGCATTGTACCGTTATATACCAAATTTGGCCCATGAAGTAAATTATTAAATCTAACAAACATTTTCCTATTATATAAAAACTTAAATATCCATTTACATATATTTACAGGGAAACCTAATTCTAACAAGATATTTACAAGTACTACAGGATCAACATTATCGAATGCACCCTGGATGTCCAAGAATACACATGCAGTATTGGAATGGCTGAAAAACGAATTCTTGATATCTGCTATTAAAGAAATGAAATTATATGTAGCACTATGGCCCTTTCGAAAGCCAGATTGTTGGTCAGGTATAATATTATTATATTCTACATACCACTCTAATCTTACTTTCAGCATGTACTCAAATATTTTTCCAATACAAGATGAGAGTGCTATAGGCCTATATGAATTATAATCATGCATTGGTTTGTCTGGTTTAAGTATTGGTATGATGCATTGTGTCTTCCAGGACTCAGGGATTTGTAAGTTACTCCATAAGAAATTATATATTTTAAGTAAAACCTCTTGTGCATTAGGATGCATATTTTTCAACACCTCATATGTAATTTTATCCAAACCTGGACTAGTATTAGGGTAAAAGTACTGGTTAGCCGGCCACTACCCCTTTCCGGCCTTTTAGCACATTATTATGAATAATAAGAAATAGATTAAACATGCATTTCTAATTTACGCGCCATTCGATGCGTACGAACTTCATTGCTAATAGGCGGCAGTAAAATCTCAAAGTTCCATTAGTTGTGTTCTCAGTCGCCATTTTAAAATAGCCTGTGCGGACGCGTGCTTATTTTATCAAAAAAGATAGCAAGTGGATTTATTTGTAAGGTGAGTTTTCAAGTGTTACTATTTATTAATTAGTAAATGTTTTATGTTTTACAATTAATTTAAATGTTAAATTTAAATGTTTAATAGCTAAAACTAAATTTTTATTTATAATTTGAGAAATTTTCGGTGGTCGATGAACAGGTTAGCGCTTTTTACCAAAATTTAGTTATCGACCATGTGGTCGCAAACTGGTTTGTTTTATGGGATTTTTATTGGTTTTTATTTCAGAATTTTTAAGTTTTCTTTTACAATTAACATTTTATTCTTATACTATTACATTTTATCGAAGTTATAACTAGAATCCGGCCGGGATTACGATTTATATTATCAAAAATATGACCTTCCGAAGTATTCATTAATGAATGGCCGACGACTAGTAAAAACCATACCCGTTTTCGGCCGTAGGATATATAAGCTGGCCGATAACTAGTTAAAATAAAACCTATTTCCAGCCGTTGGACATAATAGACGGCCGATAACTAGTAAAAGTGAAACTACATTCCAGCCGTAAAATATAAAAGACGGCCGATAGCTAGGAAAATTTAAGCCTGTTTCTGGCCGTAACATAAAAAAGGCCGTCAACATGTAACCATTTAACCTGTTACCGGCAGGTTGCATATTGTTATCAAAATACGTTTCATCATCATCATCGCCGAATATTTACTGTACCTACTAATATGTAATCTATATTTAAATGTCTCTAAATAGATCAAAAAAGAAAATTATCATATTTTTTTGTTAAATATTGATTTTTGAACATTGACCCTTTTCTTCTTTCGTCTTCTTCTGCTTTCTTTCTAATAAATTGCTTTTTGGTGTTAGCGCGTTAAATATTAAACTGAGCTTTTCTCTCTAGATGGCACCTGACACCAACAAAGCCAAGAAAAAGAAAAAAAATGAAAATCATGTCCAAAGATTTGGTTATACTGAAGAAGCCTTAAGTAACGCACTTTCTGATATACGCAGTAACATTAGAGGCATCAGAGAAGCATGCCGCCAATATGGGGTTCCTAGGTCAACGATACAGGATAGACTTTCTGGTCGTGTCGCTGAAAACAAAAGAAAAGTCGGTCCAGATCCTATATTTGGTTTTGAAGGAGAAAACAAAATCGTTAATTGGATTATTGAATTAGCCAAATGCGGAATACCTACTAACAAGTACGATCTTCTCGATACGGTAGCTAAGCTTGCGAAAGATCTTGGTATTGACCATCGCTTTCCAGGGGGTAAACCTGGTATACGATGGTATCTCAGCTTTCTTAGGCGTCATCCAAATATAAGCATCCGAGAGCCAGAAGCTATCAATAAGGCTCGAGAAGCTGTTAAAGAAAGTACAATACGAAAATGGTTTGCAGACCTGCACACTTTCTTGGTTGAAAAAAATGCATTAGAAATTTTAAGTGATCCAAAACGTATTTTAAACGCCGATGAAACAGGGGTATCTCTGTCTCCTAAATCGGGAAAGGTTTTAGCTCCTAAAGGCTATAAAAATGTCTACTTAGTCAAGAAAGGTAACGAGAAAGAGAACATAACAGTGTTGATGGTAATTACTGCGTCTGGAGAAATATGTCCACCACTAGTGGTATTTCCCTATCTAAGACCGCCTAGAGCGGTGGTCGACAACATGCCGTCTGACTGGATTTTAGGAAAATCCGAATCTGGATGGATGCGTGCAGACATATTTTTTGAGTATATTTCGAACGGGTTCAACGATTGGTTGATGAAAAATAATATAAAACGGCCAGTCTTATTTTTAGTAGATGCGCATAAGTCCCACATGTCCATGCCACTGAGTAAATTCTGTGAGGATAATGGTATATTTCTTTATGCATTGCCACCGAACACAACTCATACTTTACAGCCCGCAGACGTGAGTGTGTTTAAGCCCCTGAAACAAGAATGGAAGCGCACTGTAAAAAATTGGCAAGGTCGAGCTGAAAATTGCAATAAATGTATTACAAAAACCAATTTTTGTCAAGTGTTTAAAGAAACGCTTAACAAAGAGATGTCACAGACGATAAAAAATGGATTCCGTAAATGTGGGCTATATCCATTTGACGTAGAACAAGTAGATTTCTCGAAGTGCGTAAAAGACGCACAGTTACGAAATGCGATTAATGCTCCAACAAAACCACAAAGATCATTTACCGAAAGACATTTTGAAATAGCCAGACAAGTGTTTTTCTTATTTCAAGAAAATATAGCTAAATTAGGAATTAATCCAAATTTAATCTTACGTGAACTAGATCGAGCAAAAGATTCTTATTTACTAAAACGGCGCTCGAAATCAAAAACACCCAGAAATTCTCAATCGAATTCAACCACTCGTCATTCGAAATCCTTAGAAGTTACCGGATCCAAAGATAGCT